AACCACTATACTAGGATCGCCATCCTCTTTGTACTATAATATTAAATCATATAATGTGCAATATTTTAATGTAATATTCATATTATAGTAACTGTTTCTAATAATTGAATTAAAATATCTGTAATAGTAGTTGGATTAGCATGACTGGCAAGTTATAGAATATTTGTATAACTAGTTATACAGAAAAATGCAAACAAGATGTGGCAACCTAGTGAAGTAGTCAGGTTGTCAACTCCCAAGTGGCAGATCTAAAGTTCAAATCCTATGGATGATGAATTTTGAAAAATAGATCTGTGTTATAGTAACTGTCTCTGTTGATCAGTTGGATTAGTGTATCTGTAACCTTTGTTGCACTATCTCGAATGGAAGCTCGGGGCATCTATGCTAAGTGTAATGTTACACCCACATAGAGAAATGTTAATAACTGGTAGTGCATAAGACTTCAGTGCAAATCTACAATAAGACCACTGGGTATGGAAAGCAAAAGAACTGAGGAGTCAGAAACCCACTTGAAAATCCTAAATAAGAAGGTAGCACAAAACTTTTGACAGTGCTGTCAGACTGATAGAAGTCCATAAAACACCCCCAAAGGGATAGGTGGATAAACCGGATGACAAGATGTATAGAAGAGCATATGACCAACTAGGCTGCCAGAATCGCTGAAGGAAAAGGATACTAAGGTATATTATACCAGGGCATCTGGATTGGAAGTCTAGGGAGTCCTGTCGGTCCTGAGTAGCAGTTAGTAGGAGATGATAGAGAGGATGTTGAAAAGATGAATACCAGAATTTTGGATGAACCTTACAAGAATAAAAGTGGTTTAATGGTTAGCCCTAATTACAAGTGATGGTTTAGACCAAAGCATAACCAGATGAGCTGTAAGTATGAGATACAGAATGCACTGGTAGGTTTAGTACAAAGTTAAACATAACTTAGTAACTATGGCATATCTTCACCAGTTTACCAGAGTCACTAATAGGGTATGGTAGATGCAGGATTAGAGTGTTTAAATAGAGGATTTACAGATGGGTTCTAGGTATAGCAACTAGTGTAGAACCTTCATGTGAACTACTTAAATTAGACAATAACTAAAGTTGTATAAGTGGCTAGTTGTATACTCTTTCTGTAATTGCCTCTGTGTCTGTACATGTACAGGTACTGGTCAACTTATACTATCAGTAAAATCCTGAGTTGCATGTACTCACCTTAACATTTTAAAAAAAAAAAAAAAAATTGCAAACAAGTATCAGGTAATATAAACTCTAAATAAGTCTTTAAAGCCATGTAAATTTGTTGAAATTGTAAAACAAAAAGTCTATTTGAAAAGATCTAAGTAAAGAAGTAAACCAAAATTTTAATATCATTACTATAAAGGCTAAACTATTAAAAATAGATACTAATATTAAAGTATTTAAATAAACAAAAATCTCTAAGTTGAAAGTCTTGAAGGTATTATTATTCAGATTGCTAAAATGAACCAAAAAAAACAAATATTAGGCTGATTTAATATATTAATACATTAATTGTAATTCTATACAGACTATCTAAATTAAAAATCTAAAAAATAGGTAGAAGTATACTAAAGTACTAGAGATATATATACTATAAAGTACTAAAAATATGCTATAAAGTAGATGCTAAAGTTTAAATAAACTTTACAAAAACATAATAGTTAAAGATAAAACTCTGATTACAAGTATTAGTTCTGTTATAACAATATTAGTTAATTGTAAAAATAAATACAAAAGGCTTTGAAAAGTTTATTTTTAAGATAAAATAGTTCTAAAATTAAGATAATAACCTGGTCATGACCTAATAATGTTAATACAGGTTGCAGGTTTAGAAGATTTAAAATAGAATACTCAAGTAAAGATATTAAATATAACAATTGGTAAGAAACTTTTAAATAAACTCTTTAAATAGGTAATATAAAAAAGTTATATATATAACTAATTGTATACTCTTTCTATAATAGTTTATAAAATTACATTGCTAAAAATAGTAATAAAAATCAAAAGACCAAAAAGATTACCTTATGATTAAAAAAAAACAATAGTTTTATATAAATACATTATTCAAATAAGTATTAATAAAGTTAAAAGATCTAAAAGGTTATTGTAATACCAAAAATAAAAAATCAACTTGTTTTTAATACACAAACTTAGAAGATATATTTTAGCTTTTTCTTTATACTAACAACAAAATTAAATATTAATCAAGTATTTTTTAATATAATCTAATTAATATTTACTTTTTTTCAAATATTTAATAACTTTTTATTATTTCTTCTTAATATAATTATAAACTTTAATGTCAATTTTTTTAATTTTTATTATTAATTAATTTTTTTTTTAATATTAATAATAAGGTTATGCCTTTATCTTTATTGAATATTCATTTGAAATTTTTACATAAAATATAAATTTATTATTAAAAATATTATAAAAAGAATAGAAGCTCAAACTAGTTTATTTGTAATCTAAACCAACAGGAGTGACTAAGACTTACCTAGATTTGATTATTAGTTATTATATATAAAAGATTGGTTTGGTATTTAATTCATTATATATATCAGAAATTAATTTTAGAATAAATTAAATTAGAAAAAAAAGATTAAGTTAAATGTGAATAAAATTTGAGAGTAAGTTGAAAGTAGAAGAATGAGATATTGATCTTGAAATACAGTAAGAAATCCAAATTTTATGATATATTTGTTGGTTAAGATGAAGTAAAAATTTAATAACAAGTATTGTAACTAATTTTTGAATAATAAATTTAAGATAGTAGAGATAATTTCTTGTACTACTAAGCCAGATAAAGTTAAAAAGACTGATGGTAGGTTTACTGTGTTGTGTAAAGTTATATAATACAGTTGTTTAATTTGGCAGTATAGTTTGGTAATTGTTTCTAAAGTGATATCAAGTGTATTTGTATTTAGAATGTGTTGTAAAGAACTGTTAATAAGGTTGTATAGCAGCTAGTCAGATGAATATGTTATTCAATAAAGGTGAGAATTATTAATTTTTTATATCTTAATTAGTATCTTTTTTATAACAATTTACAATAATATCAAAATATTCTTAAATAAACAAATAACTTCCTAATCAGTTTAGCTAATAATCTTTTTATTTAATATTATTAAAAATTATTATCTATATATAATATATCTCAACATTAATAAGAACTTATTTGAAATATTATTTTTAAAACCAAACATATCAAAATTTATTTTCTTACAATATCTATTTATACTAACAATACCTCAAATCCTAAACAAACTACTAACATCATATAATCTATCAGTAAATGATTTTTACAAAGGTTTCTTTTAACCACATGCTATATATATATAATGCTTTGATCTACATCTAAGGTTTTCTTCAACCTATCCTAACTAGAAAATAATTTGAAATAATTATCTATAACTCTAATTAGGAAATAGGAGATGTAATGTTACATTATATGTCTTAAAAAAGCAACACAAATGTAGTTTAAAATCTTTTAGGAATATTCTTTATTTGTATTTAAAATTTCTACTTTGTATTCTAAAGTTTCTACTATAGCATTATATAAATAAAATAATAATAATAATAAAAACAAATTAGAGATATATACGTATTATTAAATTATTTGAAAACAAATTTTATATCAAAATTTTGAAAAATTAAGCTTTGGAATAAACATTTTCGCGCACAGGTCAAATTTTGTGATTCAAGTTATTTTACATAGCACTCTTTGAGAAAATAACTTGAACAAATGTCATCTGGAAATAAGAAAGATGCCTACTATTAAGATTGATGGTGATAGTTAAAATTTTTCGACTTTATGAATGGCATACGCAGTATATATCAAAAAAAAAAGCGGTACATATATTTATAACAAATTAAACATGTATTATAATGACATGTCTATCGCTATAACGATAAATTCTAATATCATTGCATTGTGATTGGCTGCACTAGTTTATGAAAAAAACTTAATATAAGCTTTTGACATTAATTTTTTCTCCCAAATTTTTACCGTGTTTATTGTGTTTATTATAATCAAAGAGAAATATGTCTTACACAAATTATGGTGCTCCAGGAGTTCCAGCTCCACCAGGAACGATCTATAGTGCAGCTGCCACCACATCTACAACCTACAGCAGTGGCAGTGCGCCTCCACAGTCGTCATCTTATGGAAACGGTAGTTCTTCGTATAAAAACTCATCAAATTATGGCTCATCTTACACTTCGTCTTCACGTTATGGTAATGACCGTGGAGTAGATCGTTCTTATGATGACCGCAGCCGAAGAGATCGAAAAGAGTAAGTTACTCTATGCCAAGAGAAGATGTGTTGCTTTAATTTGATTACTTTTTAAATAAAAAAAAAAACAAGTCAAAAATATCGTAAAACTTTAAGTCTTATTGTTTTGTCACAAAAAAGAAAACATATATATATGCATATCAATAATGTTTTTATCTAAGATCAATTGTTTAGGATAATAAGAAGATACTAAATTTTAAATTTTTCTAGGTATGATTCTCGTGGCAACTCACATTATAGAGAACGCAGCCCTGGATATGATAAATATGGGAGTAGCGGTGAGCGTTATGCTAGTTCTAGCTATCGACCCAGTGGTAGTACAACACATCAAAATGACCGTATGTTAAATCTTGGATCAGGATTGACAAGACAAGATTGGGATTTTTCAAAACTTCCAAAGTTTGAAAAGAACTTTTATCGCGAACATATCAATGTCATTTCACGTTCTCAAGTAGAAGTAGATGAATACCGGAAAAAACACGACATGAAAGTTTTTGGCCTCGATATCCCAAAACCGGTCGAAACTTTTGAAGAAGCAAATTTTCCAGGTATGTACAAGTCTTATGATAAATTATTTATTAAATATATTCATTATTCTAACCATTTTTGTTTAATAGCCTACGTCTTGAACGAAATTCTCGACCTAGGTTTCACCTCTCCAACGCCAATCCAATCACAAGGATGGCCAATGGCACTTTCTGGTCGTGATGTAGTGGGTATTGCTGAAACTGGATCTGGGAAGACCTTGGCTTATTGCCTACCTGCTATTGTTCACATAAATGCACAACCCTTTCTTCAACCTGGTGATGGACCTATTGTTCTTATTCTTGCACCGACACGTGAATTAGCCGTGCAAATCCAACAAGAATGCACGAAATTTGGAAAATCATCAAAGATCAAAAATACCTGTGTTTACGGTGGTGTTCCTAAAGGTCCTCAAGCACGTGAACTTTCTCATGGTGTTGAAATTTGTATTGCTACACCTGGTCGATTAATCGATATGTTAGAATCAAGGCGAACTAATCTCCGTCGGGTGACGTATCTTGTATTAGATGAAGCTGATCGTATGTTAGATATGGGATTTGAGCCACAAATTCGAAAGATTGTTGAACAAATCAGACCGGATAGACAAACCCTTATGTGGAGTGCTACTTGGCCAAAAGAAGTCAAACGCCTGGCAGAGGATTATCTTCATGATTTCATTCAAGTAAATATCGGTTCTTTAGACTTGTCGGCAAGTCATAACATTTCTCAAACTGTTGAGATTTGTACTGAATATGAAAAACGAAATAAGTAAGTTTATAATTTTTTGAAAATTTCCTCATATAAAATCAATTGTCCTGTATTCGTACAATCTACTTTATTAAACGCGTTATTTTATTTTTTATTTCCCGTATAGGCTAGTCAAACATCTTGAACGTATAATGGATCAAAAAGATAATAAGACATTAATTTTCACAGGCACAAAACGTACAGCAGATGAGATTACAAAATACTTGCGCCAAGATGGTTGGCCAGCGCTTGCGATTCACGGTGATAAGGCGCAAACTGAGCGTGATTGGGTTTTAAGCGAATTTAGAAGTGGTAAATCACCGATAATGGTTGCTACTGATGTTGCTTCTAGAGGAATCGGTAATGTTTTATTCTGCTATTTCTTGTTAATCTGTTTTGATTTCATAACATGCTCTTGCCCCCCTGCGTGTATGTGTTGTGTAGGTCCCCCTAAAAAATGCCAGCAGTAGCCGCGGGCAACAAGTATGTATATTATTAAGGAGAGGAGAATGAGGAAAAAAAGACAACAAAAAAAACATGACTCAACCTTTTTGAAAAAAAATGATCGTAAAAAAACAAAAAAAAAGTACACACACACATATATATATATATATATATATATATATATAACAATAATAATACGCAAAAAAATATTTAATGTGGCTGGCGGTGTCACTAGGATCTTGTCTATTTGACATTTGGATCGAGCTTTGACCGGTCAAATTGTTACGTTTCATCACGTAATCTTTCGATGGCCTGCCATAAGTCAGATGGCTAGAAGAAATGATCGTACTGATGAAGACTTATGATAACCTAGTCTAGCCAGGCGGTGTTGAAGTGTTTCCAGCTCTAGTAGAATCTTCATGAATGCCGTCATATCGTGCTGTCATCTTGATACTTTGTTTGCTTGCCGCTGCTCAACGATTTGGCATTGGGACTTACATATCCTTTTTTTATTTTTATTTTTATGTTATTTTTATTTTTTGTTTTTGTTTCTTGTCTGATTGTCTGGTCGTTTTTTTAAATGGTGCACATTATCTGCCATAACTTAAATTGCCCGTTGTGTGCATCACGATCATATGACTTTGGATAAGTACTCATGGCAATGTGACCGGCATATGTGATTTGATTGATTTGCTCACAAACCTTTTTTGGACTCCAGATGTTAAAGATGTTAAGCTCGTCATTAATTATGACTTTCCGACTAATGTTGAGGTAACTAGGGTTTATATTCTATGGATTGTATATAGTTTTTAGTCAATCTAATATATATTTTTTTCATTTAGGATTATGTTCATCGTATTGGGAGAACAGGGCGTGGTGGTGCTAAGGGCTCTGCTATAACGTTTTTCACAATGGATAATGCTAAACAAGCTAAAGATTTGGTGAACATATTGCGTGAAGCCAATCAGGAGGTTGATCCAAAACTTTTAGAGTTTATGAAGATCGCCTCTGCTAGTACTACTGCAGGTAATTTGCCAAAACGTCGATTTAATTCTATGTTGGAGATGGTGCTGAAATTTAGGGGTCCGCATTAAACCTACTAAAACTACTAAAAAAACTCATACTCTTTTATCAACAAATCTATCCTTAAATTCTAACTTAACCCTAAAAAAAATGCACCCCGAAAATTTTTAAAATATTAAATAGTTAAAATAGGTATAATCTGATTTCAGCATCGTCCTCTACATTTATATAATATGAAATTTTACACAGGATTATATCTTCAATTTATAAATATATAGGCCGTTCAAGATACAATAATAGTGGTAGTGGCGGACGCGGATATAATTCTGGAGTTAGTAGTCGCACTCGTTGGTAAATCAGCTTAGACATCTAACATTATTAGAAAGGAACAAGGCAGTGCTAGTAATGATAAATCTTATTAATGTTGATTATACTTGCGTTTTGTACACTAAAAGTGTGTGTATGTGACAATTAGCTTGCTGACATTAATAAATTTTGAAAAAGTGAATAAAATTCTGCAAAATTAAAATCACGTGACATGTAGTAACGGTAGCTATAACGCTTAAAATGTTGAGTTAGGATTTACATATTATATCAATATGCAAAGATCTATATTATATTAGCAAGTCTCGTGTCTCTATGTTTCCTTATTTTGCCCCTCATCTTAATTGACGACCATTTGTCATAAGATTGGTAGTCATGGCTCACCTCCAACTTATTCTCGATCGCCTCATTGTTGAAAACCTTCACGGACCTATAAATTCTGTTTCAACCTCGCATCAACCTCGAGTTTCGAGAAACGATGGCTCGCAAACTGAACTATATGCCACGTTTCAACAAAGAGATGATCAAGATCTGGATGCCGGGGATCCAAGGTCTGTGTGGTATAGAGCCTATTTTTTTACTATACAAGGTTATGGCCTCTGGAAATGATTTTAACATGGGCTCTTTTTTATCATTTGTTGATTAAATGCATCAAGATGGCTAGATCTTTTCATAGAATATTTTCTTGATAGCAGTGATAGCAAAAACGATGATTTACTGTTCTTTGTTAGACAGACAAATCCTGAAAATGAAGATCTTGATCCAGTGTTTGTTAAAAGAAAGCCGACACCGCGTGTAATGCCAAGTCTTGATGATACAGTATTATGGAAAGAAACGTTTTTTCTCAATTTGATTGTTCAGGTGCGAATTTTTATAGATTTGGTTCTTTTAACTGTTGCCTATTACAAAAATTTATTTTTATGTTCTGAATGTTTAGTTACCTTGTAAGTTAACGGTTGCTGTATGCACTCGTACACCAGCTGATAACGCAGATGGACCTAATCAAAAGACAAGTATGACATGCTCAAGAAAGCATGTATCCAAACGCGTTTATGCACTTCCAACTAAATCAAGAATGGATATTAAGGAAACATCCATGGAATGTTCCTACCCAGTTATTTATTATGTTATTGATGATTATGAGGAAATGTTTGAACATTTGATTGTCAGTGAGGGGGAATATTTGTGTGTCGAATTAGCTGTGACAATACCAAATAAATCAGATGATGATGATGATCTTAGCGATAGAGATAATGATAGTGATGATGATTATTACGATGGAACTACTAACATTAGGCGTAATCGACATCGAAGGTCTATGACAAATGAACCATTTCCACAGCATAATGATACAAAAATAACCTTGTTTCAAGGTGCAGCTTCTTATACTGCTTTGCTAGACATTTATAAGCAGAAAACATCAAGTAAGCAAAATAGAAGATTCAAAATGGGTCCTCAAACACCACCCACAGAGTATATCATGATGCGAGGTCCAGCTGGGAAGGGACATGCTCAGGTCTGTTGTATATTTTATTTTTTTTGAGCTTGTTATATATAGTCCAGCTTTTAAATTTAAATACAAAAAAAATTTAGAGGAGATGCATGATACTTAATCTAATATTTATTAACGACAGGTGGCTATTACGGCATCTTCTTTGGAAGATGATTTCTCAGATGGCACATCTCCACCTTCACCTAGAAATAGTGCATTTCCTGGCCTAGGACTTGATAATAATTGGTCAGAAAATAAAGCTACAAATAATCAAAATGGTAGATCAGCAGTCCGGAATCAAAGACCGGGTTCATCTAACTCATTTTTTCAATCATTGAGAAGACTTTCACAGTCAATAACTGATAAACCTGCACAAGATCCGGAAAATTTAAAATGTTGCATGACATTTGTGAGTGTACATTGGACTAGCATAATCACGTATGAAGAGATGTATATCATTCTTTGTAATGATTCTGTCTTATTCGAATTTTTATTTATTATCTATTAATAATTCATTTTTAGGGACCTTACTACATACGCGAAGAAAAAACAGCAAGCATTATGATTTACTAATAAATAAATAAAAATTTTTTTTGTGTATACATTATATGCTGGATTCTATTTTTTGTAGTCATTTTTAATTTATCATCAATATCTTTTTTCTAAAATATCATGTAGCTTTATGTGTGATATGATATGTATATTATATCATAATTTATTTATATACAGACAGGTAGTAGTATATTGAATGTAAATTAATAATTGGATTTTTCTAATTAAAAAATATATATGCATTAATCTATTGGAATTGATGTTGCTTGACAAAATTTGACACATAATTTGAACAAAAATCTGATAAATCATTTATTAATTGCATTTTTGCTTATTTACATCTATTTATTGAATTGTTTTTTTCTTTTTTTTTTATAAATACTAATGAAGAATTATAAAAGAATGATGAATTCAGAATGATCTAAGGTTAACCACATTTTTAATTACGAATCGCCTATATCGTCTATTACTTGATATTCGTTTGCATCATCGATCTCCGTAACGGTTTGATTTCCTCCACTCGGCAATAAAACAAGATATAAGATAAATGCAAAGTACGTTAACCCGCATGCGTAGCCAATATACACATTAGGTAACTCTTCCAAATACGATATGAACATAAAAAGATTAAAACATATTAGAAGAAAAGCAACAATCCACGTAATATATTTAAATGTATGATGTATATGAAAAGTTCCCATAACGTTTTTAGAACTAGTAAGCTTAAGAATTGGAATTAATGTAGCGGGTAAACATAGGCTTTGTAAGACATTGAGGAGTTCACCCATTGTATCAAAATGATTAACCTATTAATAAAAAAAGTCAATTACAATTTAGCAAAAAACTGAATATTCAAAAATAAAAATAAAAATAAAAAAAAAAAAAAAAAAAACTAACCGCAAATACAGCCACTAACATAGAAGGAATTATCGCGATTCCTCGGGTGACTGCGACACGCTTCCATGGATTTGAAAATATTTTGCCAAAAAATCCTTCCACAACATATTGCCCAGCGAGGGTTCCAGTCATTGTAGAGCTTTGGCCTGCGGCAAGTAATCCCACGGCCCATAAATATCTCGCACCACTACCCAGCGTCCGTGTCAAAACATCAGCCGCATCATACAAACCTGGTAAAGTTTTTACGTTTTCATGAGAATAAAATACACTAGCGAACACGACAACAATTGCCATATTTATGAGATAGGAACAAAATAAAGCCAAAGCACTTTCGACTCCAAAGTAAAAATTAGCTTCTTTAATTTTTGCTTTCGAATTACGGTTCGTTCTACGAGTCATCACCAGAGCAGAATGCAAGTATAAATTATGTGGCATAATTACAGCACCAATTAATGCAACAGCTTCTACCACTGCTTTACTTGGCACTAAAGGAACTATGATTCCTTTAAATATTTCACCAACATCAGGTTTACTTTCAATCATCTCAATCCAAAAACAGACCGCCATCACAGCAATTAACACCATAAAGAAGGCTTCCAATTTCCTCACACCATAATTTTGCAGCAACATAAATGTAAGAGTATCCATTGCAGTCATTAAAGTACCTATCCAGAGAGGCAGTCCAAAAATTATTTTGAGTGCTATAGCTGTACCAACAATTTCTTGTATATCTGAACCGATGATAGCTAGTTCTATTATTATCCAAAACATTAATGAAACAGGACGTGAATAATTACTGCTTATAAGCTGTGCAAGGTGTTTTCCTGTAACAACACCTAGTCTAACAGAAAGCACTTGAATGAGAAATCCTGCGATATGTGCATATAGCAAAATCCAAAGCTAGAGTTAATGAAGAATGAATAATATGAAGTAAACGTCATGTTAGATACAATGCATATAAATAATTTCCAGCTAAGGAAGAAAATTAGTTAATGATTATACCATGGAATATCCGGCGGCTGCACCGCATTGAAGATCTGCTTCCAAATTACCGGGATCCAGATAAGCGATAGACATTAAAAACCCTGTTAAATGGGATAAATTAATAAATCTAGTCTTTTGACAAAAAATACATAATTTAAAATCATATGAACAAGCTAACAATTCTAAAACTTATGTACTAATCCAATCATCTTTAAAGATATAAAGTTATAGCTTTAATGGATTGATTAAACGAGCTTACCAGGTCCTGTATACTTCCACAACTTTTTCCAAGAAAAGCTGCTTGTTGTTTCACCGGTGTCTACCTGAGCTTCGACTAATTTATCCCCGAATTCAATGAACTCATGCGCAACGTTTTTATCAGACTCATCTAAAAGTTCTTGTGTATTTGTTTCATTTTCTATTATTGGTTGTTGAAATAATGGAGTTTCAACGTCTGGAGCTTCTTGGGCTGGCATTATACAGTTAGAAAAATGAATAGATGTTCTTGTCAAGTTAGGATTATACACGTTATAAATCTTACTTTATTGCAGTTTTCCTTTTTAGGGATATGCATATTGTGATACCGATTCCAGTAATTAAACGTTAACAAACAACGATAAATTCGTTTACGATCACCATGAGTTTTTCATCTTTCGTATCTCCCAAGTTTCGATGCTGACCAATCATGGAAATAGGATCAGGTGTAACGTTAAAAATACTTTCCCGAAAAAAAATCACATATCAAATTTCGCCCAACAAAATTCTTCACAAAATTTTATGTCATCAACTAATCCTATTACTAATTCTAAGATATCACATTTTAGAGAAAGTGACTTGTAACCCTAATAAGTTCATTTCCGTCTTGTGATACAAATTAGTGCACACTATTTTTACCGTAATTTTCGGCCAATTGTACCCCTTAATTTAGATCAATTTGAATAATAAAGCCGAGAATATAAAACATAGGGCATTATTGCTGAAAATTACGGACTAACTAATGTTAACTTTATCTAAAATTTCCGATTAGAAAAAAATTAATCTTTTTTTAATGTTTAATAAACTTATATAGTAGATATATGCTTCTCATGTGACTATGATAAAGATAAATGCAGCAAAAGTACAAGCATTATTTGAAAGAATAATTATATAAAGCTTCTGATAATATTTATGGAGATACCTATCTATTCTAATTTAGGTTAAATCAATGAGTTTGGATATTCTTTACCAAATATAATTACTGCTTATAAGCACGCCTTTTGTACTACCGAAAAGTATTAATAACATGAATGATTGTTAAAAATAATTTTTCTGCCGTTGTGTAACAATTTATAACATCCTATATTGAGCATCCAATTCTTTCATGGTCAACTTAAGATTGGTAAGAACTAAAAAAAAAAATCAATTGAGGATATTGACTCTAGAAATGTAAAAGCCATGTCATAATAAAAACACTTACATTTCCTACAATAGCTAATGGAATATCAAATATGTCTCGTTTGATAGTAAAACAGAAAGCACAAGGAACTGGCATCCCAGACGGTCTCATAAGAATACATGTAGTCATGACAGATTGTCTTGAAGTATCAAATGCATGTGCCGCAAATTTTTCCCAATATTCTACAGCAGATTGATTATCCATGACCTTAAAACAACAAGCATGTGTTTATGAAATTAATTGCCATACGCATAAGAAAATTTGGAAATGATTCCATACCTCGTATATATACGTTGTTTTTCCAAGTAACTGGTCTTTAGTCCATTGTGTTAGCAACAAAAATTCCTTTCCCACTAGGGCGATCTCTCCTGTTCTACGCCAAACAACCGTTGGTGTTCCAGAAAAACTTATAAGCTTCTCAAATTCCTATCTCGCCACCAAAAAATAAAAAATAGTATTGCATTAGCAAATTAATGTAAAAGTAGGCTGGAATATATAAGTAACAATACTCACTAATATTGTTCTCTGGAAACATTTTTCCATAAAAATCAAATCTTCTTCAGTCAAATTCATTATAAGTGCAATAAATGATGGCCGAAATGTAGCCAACGCTCTTACAATCCTCTCGATATGATCTTTTTCCATTCTAATATATATACACAGATGCACACGACGATTTACAGCTCTTAACAAAATAATTAATCCCTGAACGTTAATGATAAAACCGTGTTACCTTTCTTTAACCCAATTTACCAAATAATGGAACCCTTCTGTATATGAAAATGGCGTTTTGACATTCGCATAAACGTTTTCTGGTGTATTTGAACTCATCTTCTTTTTCCCAGAATTTTCTCTTTTTTGACTGGTACTACCACCATTCAAACCACCAGGCGTCGTCATGACAGGACTTGTCGTGCGCTGTAGCTGTGGTTGTTGCCAATTCTGATCTACCATGCCAATCTCTGCAAAACCGTTATGTGGACCTAATGATTCTGTAGAAGCCGAAGATAACATATTGCTTAGGATTGAATATTCAAGGTTCACAGCCTCAGATCCGAAACCATAATTAACCGTCGCAAGTGGATAACTTTCTGGGGCAAACAACGTACTGGGATCCACAATATTATCTAAAAATAAAACCAAAAGAATTCATAAGAACAATTAATTGCCCAAAAATAACGGCGAATTGTATCCTCATCTCAAGGCTTTGCCGTACAATTTAAACATGGATCTTATACGGTCAAAATTATTTAATATGAACATATAAATTTGGATTCATCGCGTCTTGTAATATTCTGAGTCTCCAATTTGTCTATATGATCATTCTGGAAAATTATATTAATTGAATATACTCACTAGGAGTTGCTGATGGAAATCCATTATGCATAAAAACCGTCTGATTGGTTTGTGGCGGAGCTATAAACAGTGATTGACCAAGATTATTTATATAGTGAGAACGGTGTTGTCGAGAATAGAATAATTGTTGATAATTATAATCATCGGCAAAATGTGATGATAATGGAGATATTGGAGAAGTTGGAATAGAACGTCCAAATGATTTCAGATAAACCGATTCATCAACAGTTTTAGGCTTTAGTTTTTTTATTTTGAAATGAACACTTTAAATTTTAATGACGGTCGTGACTGAAATTGGTTAAGAAAAAAAAGAAAAGGTTTAACATACCAGCATCAATTGTCGATTGTTATTAGTAAACGAAGGCAGTACAGGAGTTTCGTTATAAGTGGAAAATGGTCCGGGATGAATTTGTTGCAAAGGCGTTGGTGAGTGTGTAAGGATAGGAGTAGGTGGAGATTGATATTTGGTTTGTTGTTCAATAGGATTCGGTGTAGAGTTATTGTAATAAAATTTATTATCGATTATTTCATACACTAGTGGTTAGTAAAAGTGAATATCGGTTGGTTGAAAAACTTGCAAAACCTCCATAACCACCACACTTGACAAATTAACAAAGTGCTTTTTCCATTATAATTTTTTGATCAAAAATACCAAATAATTATACGATCAACAAATATCGGAAATTGATTATATTGTATATTGGTCGCGCACCATCATAATGTGAATCTTGCAAGTACTTTGCCTTTTTGCGAATACCGTCAGTACATGAGGCTGCTAGATCTCGTTTAATACATCGCTGGCAGGGTCTAGCTGTTTATGAAACAAGGGTAAAATGAAATAAACAAATGCTTTGATATTTGGATTAATATGTAAGTGTATAAAATAGCTGCAACATACAATCGTCGCAAGTCAAATGGGCTTTTTGGCAATGAAAACAAGCCCTTGTGGCTTTTTTTCTTCGCATTGAAGTACCCGTATCATTATGTTCGGAGCTCGAGGTTTGCGTACTTTCGGACATCGTATTTTCCTATCAAAATCTATTGATTCTTTCTAAAAGGTTCTGTACAACAGTTTTTGTAAAGACAGAATTTGTAGAAAAAAAAATTGCAAAAAGCAAAACATACAAAAAAATACGTAATCCAGATGCACACACGTATCTTATATTGAATTATTGTGCTACCATAAAATCACACTTATTTAAAGGTTAGATCACCAGAATGATAGAATTAAACATGGCAGGTTCGTTAAATTCCTCTTGTGCATTTTCACAAAAGTATTCATTACGCTAATTTGCTACGTGCTAATTTTTAAAAAGTTGATGGGTATCGTATAATTCTTGACAACGATCTTGATGAATGGTTAGATGTTGAGGCAGTTGAAGAAATGAATGAGATTGGACAGGGGGGAGAAACGTCAACAAGACAAAATTCAAGTAACTTAGTTAAGGTGGATTTAGAATACCAGAATGAACTAAGGAAAGTTATCCTTAGCATACAAAATGATCTTAGCATATCGCAGGATGAAAAGGCGAAGAAAGTTCAAGTAAACTAATATTTACAGTTTATGAATAACTTGAATTTTTTATTTAGAAAATCTTAGATTTCCTTTCACATTTTTTTTAGAACTTGATGACATTCAATTGGCGACAAAATGAAAAAAAGTCAACAGATAATTTAAATACCGATATTGAATCTATTGAAGATGATATCAAACCAACATATACTGTAAGATTTAATCCTTAATATACATCTATAAAACTATGATATAATTAATTCTTGTAATTGCCATTTAGTATGAAAATTCACAAAAATTTGGATGTAAACACTATCAAAGAGGATCAAAATTACAAGCAGAGTGCTGTAAAAGATTGTTTACATGTAGATTTTGCCACGATGAAAAATGTGATCATAAA